CCTGCAAAAGTGGAAACGAAGCCAAAAACGGCAGCCGGAAAAGTGCAAGCAAAAGGGAAAAGGGGAGCAAAGGGAAAACAGGCTGAAGTCGCTAACTAAGAAACTGAAGAAGATTTACCTGCCGAAAATGGAGAAACTAAAAATGAGGAGAGTCCAGCCTCTGATGAAGCAGGAGAGAAAGAAGCCAAGGCGGATTAATGTTTGTCTACCATGTCGTATCAGTGGGTCTTGTATTCTATCTCTCTTCTTGTACAATCCAGAGGAATATTTTTATCAACTATTTTATAAATGCAAGATTTTTAGTAGCTCTAGAAAAATTTTAAGATGGAGGAAATCCCACTTCATCCCATTTTTTAAATGTAAATGCTTTTTTAAAGAGGTGAAATCATTTCCTGGTTGTTTATTTTTGGGTACAACCAGAAAATAGTGGGATGTTGACTGGTGGGAGGTTTTGACTATCTTGGGTGTCACCTTAACATTCCATTGGGAGTAGGGGGAATTATATATCCCACAGTACAAAGCACATTAAATGGCAATTGGGAGTCATGGTCATGCATTTGTGTGACTTGAACATTTTAAATTCTGTTTCCATGCTGTTTTTCAGTAGAATTGTTTCACTCATCCTGACTGCCTGTCAGACTATGTGCGTTCTGTGACATCTTTGGTCGTGGTAGTCCTGTTTTCCTTATAACATTGTTATGTGCTGTGAAAGCTTGAAAATTTGAGTGTGTAGTCTGTGTGATGTTAAATTGTGAATTAGTAGGATTTATGACTGTCAAAAATTGAAGATATTGGTACTTAAAAGTTTTGGTACAAAGGAAAATTTGCCTCCAAATTTAAAGCTGGAAAGTCACTGGAATTTAGAAAATTATAACTACGTGGCTCTTAGATTTTTGGTACATACATTAAGAATTGTGTACAAATTGTTCATAATGTCTCTGTACTGACCTTTTAAACAATAAAATACCACTTATGAAAGAAAAAAACAAACAAACAGAGGTATATAATATATTGCTCCACAACTTGTCTGAGAAAAATTCCTTTTATCCTAAACAGGCACTGTTGATCAAGGGGTGGCAAATAGGGCCATGGCAGACCTTGTTTGGGAGAAAGGATGTAGGGTAAGGAGGAATCATTGTGTATACCTTATCCTCAGGTTTACTGTTTGCATTCTTCTCAATTAAGTGGATTGAAGAATCAAGGCAGGGTTTTGTAGGTTAAATTTTTTATGGTCTTTTTTGTCAAGTCTAAATATTGAATTAAGTTAGATTGCTATACTTTGTTAGATTCTGGGAAATGAAGTAGTATTTATGTTCCCTGGTTTAATTTTTCAACTTTTCAAAACCTTCATGTGTGTGTGTGTGTGCGCATGTGTGTGTGAGAGCAACAGAGGCTATGTATTATATTTAAAAGTCAATTACAGTAATTTTATATTTCCTGAAAACCTACTGAATTCTCAGAACTTTTTACTGAAATTACAACAAATACACATTTTATGCAGAGAGAAAATAGTTAAGTTAACATGAATGGATGACCAAATGATACAATAGTTTAGGGGATGTTGATTTAAATACAATTTCAAAGCTTGGTTATAATTCTGTCCCTCTGAGAAATGAGCAAATAGGACTTTAATCATCATTATGCAGTCGAATCCAATATTAATTAATTTTTTTTTTTAAAGAGGTCTTTTGCAGCAGATTTGCCTACTGCAATACATCTTTTTTTTTTTCCACTTTTTATTGTGAATTGACTGAAGGCTTACAAAAATGATCATCACATCAGTTTTACATTCAACAAATCATACACTTTATTTCATCTCAATGATTGCAATCCCCTCCATGCAACAGTAGTTATCCCACTTCCTCCCTGTGGTTCTTAATTCCTTCCCTTCCCTTCTCAACTTTGTCCTTAGGTAAATGTTGCCCTTTTGATTTTGAATGATTGACCGTGTCACATCATTCATAGTGCGCATACCTTACTAGTGTTGTTATCCCCTCTAGATACCTATCTACTGCTTGGTTGAAAGTTAGGCCACAAGGGTGAGTTCCTTTCCAGATCTAAACAATGGTTGAGGGCCTTTGCATTCCTACCTGTATCTTCACTTGTATTCATCATTCTTCTGCCATCCTCCCTCTTGTACAATGCCTTTCTTATCAACTATGTTAGTTCTGGTATGGCACTGTTTGATAAGCACTGAACTGCTAAACACAAGGTCGGCTGTTCAAAGCCACCACTCGCTCCTCAGAAACCCTCTACAGGTTCGCTATGAGTCAAAACTGACTCGAGGGCGCTTAACAACAACAACAACATCACCTGTGTTAACATGTGTTTACCCTTTAGCTAGTGAATTATTCCCCCTTCTCCCCCATCCCTGGTAACCATCAAAAAAATGTTTATTTTAGCATGAAAACCTTTTCTGGAATTTTCACCACAGTGGTCTCCTACAATATTTGTCCTTTTGTGATTAGCTAATTTCACTCAGCATAATGTCCTCCAGATTCATCCTTGTTATGACATATTTCCCAGATTCATTGATGTGTATTCTATGATATGGATACACCAAAGCTTGTTTAATCATTCTTTCATTGATGGGCATTTAGGCTGTTTCCATCGTTTTACTATTGTGAATAGTGCTGCGATGTGTGTATATGTCTACTCGTGTCATGGCTCTTATTTCTTGTGGATATATACCAAGTAGAGGGGTTGCTGGATCATATGGCATTCCTATTTCCAACTTCTTGAGGAAGTGCCTTGTTGTTTCCCACAGTGGTTGCACTGTTTTACTGTCCCACCAGCACTTAGCTGTTTTCTGTTTTGTTTTTTGACTTTCCTACTAGTGCTGGAATGAGATGATATCTCGTTGTTTTGATTTTAATATTAATTTCTTATTCAAAGAAAGCCTACTTTTCTGATTAAATTTTTATTTTAATGAGACATTCCTTCTAAAGAAAAGATTTAAATATTCATTTGAGTATATTAAACATGATCTTTGTCATTCTCCAAACCACAGCCTAATAATAAACTATGTAGTGGATCTCCTTCAACCACAGAGACTACAGAAGAAATTACTTTGTTAAACAAAGTTTTTTTGTCTTATTCTTGCAGATAACTATGCGAAAAATCAGCAGCAGAAGAAATACCAAGAAGCAGCGATTCCAGCATTAAGAGATATTCCTATTAGTGAAGTCAATCAAATGTTCTTTCTCGCAGCCAAAAACCTTTACACCAAAAGCTGAACCATATAGACATACTAACACCAAGTGTTTATTTATAAGGTTTTGACCATTATTTATAAAATTTTGATCATTATTTTCATTGTCTCTCTTATTAATTCCCAGTATTGAGATGGAAAAAAGTTAAGTTGGTCCCTTAGATTTTTTAAAGCTCCATTAATATTATTAATGTCCTCAAATATTAGTTACTAATTAACAGAATAAATATTACATTCCTGTATACCAGATTTTTTTAATAAAATAAATATCAGTATAAAAAGGGTATCTGTTTTGTCTTTAGAATTCAAACTCTCAGATGTGGAGGAAGGTATTTTTAATATTTATGCCCTTCCTGTGAGATTCATGTTTAAAGATAAAATAGTTGCTTACTGAGTACTTACAATGTGCCAGGTTTTTTTCTAGGTACTAGAGATATCATCATGACAAAAAATTTTTATTAAAGAGCTTACATTTTAGAGGCAAGTTGAGACAGACAGGAAAAACATCAATTGTGATAAGTGTTGTACATAGAATTAAACTAGTATAATGTAGAAAATAAAGGGATTACATTGAGGTTAAGTAGTCAAGGAAGGCCTCAGACAGAGTCAGCTGGGGTTGAGATTTGAATAGCAAAAAGAAGAGGCGATCATAAAAGATTAGTGAGTCAATAAAGCCGGAATAAAGTTGGTAGGCAAAGACTTGAGGTGGGAAGGAGCTTGGTGTGTCTTCAGAACAGAGAGAAGTCTAACAGTAGGTCTAATGCATACTGAGTGAGTGGGAACGAGGTCTGAAATGAGCCTGGAGAAGCAGGGCCCGGGTTGTGAGGGCTTTGTATGTCAGTATAGAAAGTTTGGATAGAAGTGGAAGTGTGATGAGCTTGAAGTACTTTAGGTAATGAACTATTGGAAGGCTTTAAGTCAAAGAGTGGTGTTACCTGATTTATGTTTTCAAAAGGGCACTCTGGCTGTTAGATGGAGAATGAATTGGGGCAAGGTTGGGAATAGGGTAGAAGTGGAAATAGGGGATCCATTAGAAGGCTATTACGTTACTCCAGGCAAGAAGATAGCAGCTTAGCCCATGGTGCTAGCAGTAGAGAAGTAGACAGCTCAGAGCCTTTGTTGGAGATACAGCCCATAGATAAATTTGGTGGTTCAATATAGGTAGACTGTTGTTGTTAGACTTAACTGTGTTAAGTCGACTTTTGACTCCTAGCGACTCATTTGACAGAGTAACACTGCCCCTTATTCTAGAATACAATCTTTTCAGTCACCTGATAATGCATGCCAAAGCTAGATAATGAATAAAGAAGACTGGAGAAGAATCGATGTATTTAAATTATTGTGTTGGTGAACATTGAAAATATCATGGGCTGTCAAAAGAACAAACAAATTTGTGTTGGAAGAAGTATGGTCAGATTGCTCCTTAAAAACAATTATGGCAAGACTTTGTCCCTTGGACTTTGGGTGTGTTATCAGGAGGGACCAGTCACTGGAGAAGGACATCATGCTTAATAAAGTATAAAGTCAATGAAAAAGGGAAGATCCTCAATCAGATGAATTGATACCGTGGCTGCCACAGTGGGCTCACACATAACAACTGTGAGGATGGTGCAGGACCAGGCAGTATTTTCTTCTGTTGTACATA